AATTCAGCCCTCTGTAGGTTGATCATTTTCATTTCCGTCAAATGATCCTTTGGTTCCTAACACATCACCCAGTCCTTATCGGGATAAAGAAACGGCAGGATTTTCCCCCCCTTGAGATCTGATGTGTTTTCAAAGTGTTCCTTTAATTTCTTTGAGCAGTTTATATTTTCCCAGTTAACTTTTTTTAGTCCCAGAAACTTTTTATCTCCTCTCAATGATTCTGATTTTCTCTGCCTTCTGATTGGCTTGTTCTGTGCAGTTGATGACATACGCCAAGAATAAAATGAGTTTCTCTACCTTCGCAATGAAGTTATCTTCTCTTTCTAATTTATTTTGCTTTTGTACCCGATTCTGATCTTGATTCATTTCTCCTTCCTTTGTCCCTGAACTCTCTTCCCTGCTTCTGCGTAGCTTCTAGTTGTTGTAGTTCTATCCTGTTGTAACTGCTTTCTTTCTCTCCTCCCATCCTCCATAGTGAACTCTGTGCTGCCTCCGCAGCTGCAGCACCTTAGCTTTCCCCTACAAACTGCTGCCAGGTGTGCGTAGCGCTGACACCTGCAGCACCTGAGTGAAGGTGGAATGATCGGCCTGAAACTCACCCAACTGATTCTAACTCTTTCTGCTAGAACGGACTCAGAGACGCTATCAGCAGTGACCTGCTGCCATCCTTTCCCCTTCCAGGTTTTTATAAAGTCTCTGTATTTTGCTAACCTGTTCGTCTCTAATTGATCTAAATCCTGGTTAATTGATTTTTCTGTTATCACTCTTTCACTGTTTTATTCTCTCCTATGACTTTTATCTCCATCACCTCTTTTCCCTGTGTTCAACAGCCAATTCTTTGATTTTCGTCTCCTCATTTTTGCAAATTACCAGGAAGTTTCTTCACAAATTCAACGTCCCCAATTTTCTTATGTCTCTGAAAAAGGGGCTCAAATTTCTTTTTTAATTCCATTTTATTTCCTTGTTTTTTAAACCACCTTTCTCCACTTTCCCCTCCTCTATCCTCTCTTTCCCATTTAACTGTTGGTCCAGCCTTCCTTATCTTCCTCCTTATCATCATCTTCGTCCTCATCCTGCTCATCATCATCTTCTTCCTCATCCTCCTCATCATCATCTTCTTCCTAATCTTCCTCATCATCATCTACCTGATTTGCCATTTTGGTTCATCCACCGATCATTCAGGCAAAAAAAAAAGTTTTAACAAATGACTGTCGGTCCCAAAACGACGTGAAGTTCCTGCCAAACACAAGCGTTGCCTCCTTTGTAACTATTAAAATAAATATGGGCCAAATATCGGAAACTGAAAAAAAAACACAGTATCTGAAAGTAAAAAAAAAAACTAAAAAAAAAGTTTCGTCAAATATAAAAATATGGAAAAGAAAAGATAAAAAGAAAAAAAAAAAGATTTTCTTCTTCCAGAGGTAGATTAATATTTTATTTAAACTGGAAAAAAACTTGAAGGCTTATTTTTATTTTCAATGGATTGTTGCATTTTTTAAAATTCCATTAAAAACATTCTGTGTTCAATTTCAAATTTTATTTTTTCAATTTAATATTTTTTTTTTTCAAATAACATTTCTGGCTCCAATTTACCTCCATACAATACAGGTGCTGGTCATAAAATTAGAATATCATGAAAAAGTAGATTGATTTCAGTAATTCCATTTAAAAAGTGAAACTTGTATATTATATTCATACATTACATACAAACTCATATATTTCAGATGTTTATTTTGTTTAATTTTGATGATTACAAATGACAACAAATGAAAATCTCAAATTCATCATATCAGAAAATTAGAATATTACTGAAGACCAATAAAAACAAAGGATTTATAGAAATGTTGGCCAACTGAAAAGTATGAACATGAAAAGTATGAGCATGTACAGCACTCAGTATTTAGTTGGGCCTCCTTTGGCCTGTATTACTGCAGCAATGCGGCGTGGCATGGAGTCGATCAGTCTGTGGCACTGCTCAGGTGTTATGATAGCCCAGGTTGCTCTAATAGTGGCTTTTAGCTCTTCTGAATTGTTGGGTCTGGTGTATTGCATCTTCTTCTTCACAATACCCCATAGATTTTCTATGGGGTTAAGGTCAGGAGAGTTTGCTGGCCAATTAAGAACAGGGATACCATGGTCCTTCAACCAGGTACTGGTAGCTTTGGCACTGTGTGCAGGTGCCAAGTCCTGTTGGAAAATGAAATCTGCATCTCCAAAAAGTTGGTCAGCTGCAGGAAGCATGAAGTGCTCTAAAACTTCCTGGTATGTGGCTGCGTTGACCCTGGACCTCAGAAAACACAATGGACCAACACCAGCAGATGACATGGCACCCCAAACCATCACTGACTGTGGAAACTTTACACTGGACTTCAAGCAACGTGGATGAAGTGCCTCTCTTCTTTTCCTCCAGACTCTGGGACCTTGATTTCCAAAGGAAATGCAAAATTTACTTTCATCAGAGAACATGACTTTGGACCACTCACCAGCAGTCCAGTCCTGTTTCTCTTTAGCCCAGGCAAGACGCTTCTGACGCTGTCTGTGGTTCAAGGTGTGGCTTGACACAAGGAATGCGACAGCAGAAACCCATGTCTTTCATACGTCTGTGTGTGGTGGTTCTTGAAGCACTCACTCCAGCTGCAGTCCACTCTTTGTGAATCTCCCCCACATTTTTGAATGGGTTTTGTTTCACAATCCTCTCCAGGGTGCGGTTATCTCTCTTGCTTGTACACTTTTTTCGACCACATCTTTTCCTTCCCTTCGCCTCTCTATTAATGTGCTTGGACACTGAGCTCTGTGAACAGCCAGCCTCTTTAGCGATGACCTTTTGTGTCTTGCCCTCCTTGTGCAAGGTGTCGATGGTCGTCTTTTGGACAACTGTCAAGTCAGCAGTCTTCCCCATGATTGTGTAGCCTATAGAACTAGACTGAAAGACCATTTAAAGGCTTTTGCAGGTGGTTTGAGTTAATTAGCTGATTAGAGTGTGGCACCAGGGGCCATCAATTTTGAACCTTTTCACAATATTCTAATTTTCTGATATGATGAATTTGAGATTTTCATTTGTTGTCATTTGTAATCATCAAAATTAAACAAAATAAACATCTGAAATATATGAGTTTGTATGTAATGTATGAATATAATATACAAGTTTCACTTTTTAAATGGAATTACTGAAATCAATCTACTTTTTCATGATATTCTAATTTTATGACCAGCACCTGTACTTGCAAATTAAGGCGATGAAACAAATCACACAAGTGGCTGCTCAGCTACAACATCACATGTCCCACCATGAGCTCTTTGAACCTTTCCAATCGGGCTTTAGACCCCATCACAGCACCGAAACCACCCTCATTAAAATAACAAACGACCTCCTGATTGCTGCAGATGACGGCCTTGTCTCCGTCCTCATCCTCCTTGACCTATCTGCTGCCTTTGACACTATTTCCCACTCGATCCTCCTCTCCCGTCTCTCAGACCTCATCGGCCTCACCGACATTACTCTCTCTTGGTTTCAGTCTTACCTCTCCAACCGTAAACAATATATCACTCTGCAAGGCTCCTACTCATCAACTGCAACAGTTAACCATGGCATTCCTCAGGGATCTGTCCTTGGTCCCCTGCTGTTTACCATCTACTTGCTCCCCCTCGGTCAGATCATCCGCAACCACGGACTCAGTTTCCACTGTTACGCAGACGACACCCAACTGTATGTCAGCACTACGCCCTCCTCACAACTCCCACAAATACAACTTAACAACTGTCTCCTTGATATCAAAACCTGGATGACCAACAACCTTCTGAAACTCAACACCCACAAAACCGAGCTCATGGTGGTGGCCCCAGCACCACTGCTCAGGAAGGTTGGAGACCTCACCTTGGTCATTGATGGCTGTCCCACCTCCCCATCGCCCAAAGTGCGGAACCTGGGTGTCATTTTGGACTCTACACTCTCACTCAGTTTCCACATCCAGAGCATCACTAAATCTGCCTTCTTTCACCTCCGTAACATCTCAAGACTCCGGCCGTCACTTACCGACTCAGTCACCGAAACTCTCATTCATTCATTTGTCACCTCCCGTCTGGACTACTGCAATGGTGTCCTGTCTGGGCTGCCCAACAAAGCCCTAGACAGATTGCAGTACGTCCAGAACTCAGCTGCCAGGGTGTTAACCCACACCAAGCCCTGGCAGCACATCACCCCCATCCTCAAGAAACTCCATTGGCTGCCAATCAAACAACGCATCAGCTACAAAATCCTCCTCCTCACTTACAAAGCACTTCATTCTCTGGCACCCAAGTACATCACTGACCTTCTTCACCCGCTCACTCAGTCACGGTCCCTGCGCTCCACCAGCAAGAACTTACTTTCCATCCCCCGTACCAGACTCAAGACCTTTGGCGACAGGGCTTTCTGTGCAGTGGCCCCGGCTCTTTGGAATGCCCTCCCCCCTCCTATCCGTTCCGCAACTTCCCTGACACAGTTCCAAAAGCACCTTAAAACTCACCTTTTCTCTCTTGCCTACCCTTCCTAACCCCCTCCCTGTCCCTACCCCCCCTTACTTCACCTCTTGTAAAGCGACCTTGGGTGTCCTGAAAGGCGCTATATAAATCAAAGTTATTATTATTATTATTAAATCAATAACATGACACAGTATAATTATTTTATTTCATAATAGTATCATATCATTATATGAGGTATAATGATGAAATATACAAAGTTATATCATTACATACTTATTATAATAGGTTTCGTCACTAATTGCTGCGCAATCTAGCAGGTTAAACAGCATTTCTACATTTCTCACTGCTGTTCTATGTTTCGTTTGATGCTGAGGTTTAATCTCACCTCCTACTTTATGATGAAATGAAAGATTAGCAGAATTCTCTTTGGGTAAAAAGAAGAGACTGGTGCCGTCCAGCAGCATTACACCATCTGTAGTGTCTATTTTAAACACTGTCATCATTTCAGCAACCAGCTTTACAGCAACGTTGTTATTTTTACATAATTCAAACAAAGGCAAAAATGCAGCTTTAAAGCGTTTCCACCATCAGTACAGATCTTCCTTTAGGTTTCGACAAAGACAACAGGTGAACATCATCCCTACCAGCTGAAACAGAAGTACAGAGCCCGTTAGTTCCTCTGTCAAATTTCCAATATTCTTCTGTACAGCAGTTCCCCACTTTACCTGTAAAAACGCTATTCCAACGCCCACTGCCCCGAGAATATACAAATGGCTTCTGAGGAAATTCTCTAGTTGCTCAATGCATCCTCCCTGGATGGAGATAAAAGAAATAAAGGAGAACATTTATTAGAGGATCATTGTCTGTAGGCCTTTTTCTCATTTTATCAGGTTATAACCTCAAACTTTAATGTAAATTTGGTGCGATAGATCAACAATGAGAGGAGTATTAAGAGAAGGAAACAGACAAAAGGCTTTTTCTAAAAATGCTTCATGAATATAAATATGAAAGGTTGTGTGTGCATGGTTTTTATTCACCCCCCTTTACCCTAATGCCTCTAAATAAAATGCAGTGTGACTGCAAAAAGGACTAGCACCACCCACCAGGTTAGTTGTTAAAGTCCAGCTGTGTGAAGTTTACTGCCTGCACACATACAGCAGTTTTTGAAGATCTCAGAGGTTAAAAAACAAACAAACAGGATGATGAAGATCAAGGAAAGCAAAAGACAGAATAAGGGAAAATGTTTCCGGATTTCAATCAGATTAAAAAAAGAAAACCTGAGACACGTCGATCGACCTAAAAATGAAAGCAGATGATTGTTCTCAGGAACAGCAAAGAGGCTAACGGTAGCTCTGCAGGAGTTTCAGGGATCCACAGCCTGTGGAAAAGCTGCTAACGACACAAGGCTAGTTTTATGCAAGAGTAGCTTAAAAAAAGCCTAATGGGCAATATTCACAAGATACAGATGGGACTATGCCAGAGGTAAGTAGTACATAGGTTTAGATTCACACAAATATTTACTTCTGTAACTTCATTTAAAAAAAAAAACAAAAAAAAATTCTGGGTATTTTATTGCACCATAGATTTTTGTCATGCTAACTATTTTATGGCCTTTTGGTGACCAGTGAGCAAACAGCAGACATCAGATATTATTACTACCTTTAACTGTCGACATGTATCATTATGTACTCTTAGGTTGTGGAAAAGTGAGTTTTGGTGATGTGGTTTTCTCCTTCTTCCTCTCCACTGTCGCTACAAGCATGCTTATTGTGAGGGATTGCTGAAGAGTCAATGAGTTGATGCAATCAGCTGGTTTTCCTTAGATAGAAAACTTTGAATCAATCTGACTGGATGATCTGGTTGAACTGGAAAGTGACCTGAGATGAGATGATGTGAATTGGAGCTATAGAAATATACTGATTAGAATTTAGTTAAATGGGTACTAATCAGTTTAGTTGAGTTTTTACCAAAAACTTAAAAAAAAAAAAATCTTTCTTTAGTGTTTGGTTACTCAGCTCTCCTCTGAACACAGTTCAGATGCCTTCAAACTTGATCATGTAGGTTATTATAAACACACAGCCTTCCTGTGACGGTGGCAGCATCATGATGGGGAGAGATGGAGGATCCATGGAAAACAAGGTGTTAAAACCTGAAAGGGATTTAAGGCGGGATGATGAGAGCTACAGCCAGGGTTCTAATGGCAGAGCTCAGATCAGAGCATATTCCTATGATGGATATTATATGAATATATAAATACATTTACTAATAATATAATTATGAAATCCAATCATGATTCACTGCCACAACTTTAGGTCAATGTTCAGAAACCACTTTCCTCCATTAATTGTTTGAGCTGTTTATGTGGAGAAGAATTATTAAAGGAAAATCCGCTTATATTCAGAATCCAAACTTCTGAAAGTTCTTTAAATCTGAAATGATTCCATCCTGTTCAATAAATGATCAGTGTTTTTAATTCAGAGTAATTTTCATGTGAATGTGCTTTACTGGAGGCATCCATGTTTGTCAAAGAACACTACTGCCACCTACTGGTTAGTGACATTGTCACGGTGCGGTATCGGCTGTTGATCAAGTCCCAGTGCTGTATCTGGTGTTTGTCACAACGCGCTATTATCCAAGTCATCTTGAAAACATTCTTCTTCCAAATGTTGGCTACATATTACGGGTTTTTTCTCTGGCCAGAAGTTCGATGGCAAATCCTCCCTCTTCAAGTTGGCGATCCAACGACCAACCCGTCCGTGGAGGATCAGGAATCAGAAAGGTGGAATAACTCTTTTTTTCACTTTTACCCGATGTATTCCAGCATCCAGCTGCCATGCACGTGGGCATTGTCAGTTTCACTATAGCTCTGGTGAATTTCAATGGTGAAGTCCTCTGGAAATCTTCAATAATTGTTGTTGATTGCAGATGTGTCTAGTAGTTCCCATTGATTTAGCTTGGAAAGCGGGGAGAATGGCGCTAGGCTTACCGCACCGTGACGTCACTGCTGGAAGATGGCAGGAGGGAGGGGCTACTAGATTTGGGCAAAAATGGCCGCTCCCAGACTCAGTGATTGCAACGGAAATTATTGTTTTTATTTTTTTACTGATTAACGCTAAATTCATTAAATCACAGCAAACATCTTCGGTATAAATAATGATCCATTGATTCTTCCTGCTGACTGAACTTTTCCTTTAAAATGTTGGTAGAGACAAATCTTAGGTTTAGAGCTTTAAGTTTAATGACAAGAAGCTCTACAGAGATATTTGACTTTGAAGGACTGGAGACGATGCATTGATTTCCCCCCAAAATCTGCAATAAAAACATTTTTGTGATACTTTGTCCAATGAGATCTGATTAGGCGGCTGAAAGCTGCTGGTGGAACATATAACAGGTGATGAATGGCGCCTGTACCTCCACCCTGTAGATGTTGGATGGATGATCTCTGCGACCGCAGAGTTCACTGGGAGTTTTACAGCAGCTGTCAGGAACAAGCCGCTCATTTCCGACACTCTGGATCCACTTACTGTCCGTCCAGTCAGAGAAGTTCTGACTCCCACAGCACTTAAACTGGAAGACAGGAACAAACAAAGGGAAGAATGAGAAATTCAGATTAAATTGAATATTTAAATGACATTTACAGTTATAGTGCTCTGATTGGTCACATGGATTTCACTCTTCAAACCTGTTGTTGCAGCTTGTCGACAGACTGTGTGATGCTCTGCTGGCCGGGCTGCTGGTATTTCTGCTGCATGTTGGACTTTAGGTTCAGTCTGAGCTCATCATGCAGCTGTGAGGCAACAGAAACATTTTATTCTACCTGAGCCACGCCTTCGCATCACTCAGAGCACATTTTCTCTAACCCCGGCCTCACCGCCGGTTTTTAACAGGATTTTTCCAGTAAAAAATATTTTACTCTATTGAGCATAAATCAGGTGATAACTTTACATATATTAAAGACACTGACATTAATTTTATTAATTCTGGACCTTTCAGAATGCATATAAATCACGCTGCAAAAAGTTTAAAGTCGTAGGGAAGCTGCAGTTCCAACCGTTGCATTTCTGAATTCTCCCAGTGGTGCCCGACTTTACACGAGTGAATAAAGTGAATGTGATTGGTCCATTATCAAGGGGGCGGGATTGTTGTGGCGGAAGGTTCGCAAGCAAGTTTGGTTGTGGCCGGTTTGTGGGAAGCATCATGCTAACCAGTTAGCAACTTAGTGCTAGCAGGTTCCCAATGGGAAATTCCACTAAATTGGTGACTTAGAAACGACGCTGTCAAGGAACGCTATGGACAGCGGAAACATGCAAGAGGAGGAGAGTTTAGTGTCGGAGGTCATGGATGAGTCTCCTCCGTCATCCATTTTTTATTTAGAGGAGGAAAGCGGGGACGAAGATGTTGTGGAAGAGGACGCCAGGGCGGCAGAAGCTTGGTTTGGTGTAGAAGGCTTCCAGCCGTACATGTTTGAGCCCTTGCCTCGCAACGCTGCCAGTTCTGTTAGCTCTACGCCTGCCGAAGACACAGACGTCCATCCCCGTGAACACTGGGACGCAACTCAATGGGAAAGGAAAGGATTCTGGTTTCAACCGTTGCGTATATTAGCTGCGACACATGAATCAAGATGCTATGACCGAAAACATTAGATTGACAGATGACCGTTGATATATGATTGGCTGAATTTAGGTGTTCAGGCTGACGTAGAACTAACTGGCCTGCAGAAGATAATGGAAAAAAACAGATTTTAAGACAGGATTTATTTAAAAATAGTAATTTTCTAAAGTTTGGGACAACATGGTCTGATAAAAGTAAATTTATATACATGTTTAAGCCAGAATGATTTGACATTTAAATGTGGTTTCCCTAAAACTTTAAAGAATTTGATTCTTAATTTTCACCTGATGACTTTTATGAGATATTAGAAATTTCACATTTAGCTAAAATACCAGATTCAGGCTTCATCAAATTTCCATCCAGCCACTTAATTTCCATAAAATCAATAAGTTCAAACCAGAATTCCTGGTGATATTTAACCACTTACATCAGAATAAAACAGTTAATGTCATGGACCTGCTTTTCATGCATAACCCTCACATTTGGAACGGGGTTGATAGTAATTATTACTTATTAACCTTGTTTGGTTTAGTTCAGACATTTGTTCTACTTTAACTCCTACTTGTGTGCAAATCTCCAACTGGAAAAGAGAAAAAATATCCAGCTGTTTGGGGAGAATAGAAAGGAACAAAATAAGGAGGATAAAGGACTGATACCAACTTCCCCTTAATCAATAGTTAGATGGTTGGACATGATGATGGGCAACAATTCATTCATTAAAACTTGTTCTGTTTTATTCAGGTAAATCATGTGTTCATTTGTTATATGTTCCCTTAAGCTAGATTAAAAAAAAAAACTTTTAATGTGTTAATCAAGCTAAAGCAATGCCATTCATGCCCATTAGTGAGGAATTTTAGCTGTTTACTAAAATGGTTCATGAACTGGGAGGAAAAGAGAAACACAGGAGAACAGTTTACCTGGTGGCAGAGAGGGAAACACTGCAGCAGAGAAATAGAGGAAGAAACAGAAAGTGTGAGAAGAATGGATGAAAAAAATTAGATATAAAATGAAGAGCGTGCAGAGAAACGCATGTGGAGGGAATTTACAGACCGCAGCAGGAAAGTTCATATTTAGTAAAGTCAGATTCATGCATTTTTTAATTAAAAAAAGAAAGAAGTGTGTTTCTGGTGGTAAAGACCCGGACGGTGTTGGTTTTTAGTCACTTTTGCTTTAGACTCTCAAACAAATATTAACCTCAGAAACAAATAAGATGAAATACGGTTTCCCTCCATCAACAAATGATTCTGGGAATTATTTTAGATTAACAATTTCAGCCAAATCTATTCCTGATATGCAGGATCAAGAATCCCCTAAACAACATTTCTGACAACATGTAGAAGGTAAAAAAAAAAAAGAACTATGAGCCCCTAAAATGAAGATATTTTAGAATAGATCATTTCTAAGGCTTTGGGACTTCAGGGAGAGAAATTGTTCACAAATGTAGAAAATATGGAGGATATTCCCAGAGAGGCTGCAGACTTTTCCCCAGTTAATGTTCACGTTTTATTATAAGAGAAATACCAGAAATAGAATCAGTGGGAGAAGTTAAATTAACTGGTGACAAAACAGAAAAGAAAAGCAGAACAGAACTCACATATGCTAAAAAAAAAGATCTGTCCAAAACTTCAGCAGAATATCTTGCTGACTGACGAGACAAAAGTGCTATTTTGTGGAACTTTAATGTTTTTAAATTAGGCTCAGAACTAAAATGTCATCTTAGAAAAAAAAACAACAAATTGACCAAAAGACAAATCTGCTGGTGTTAGCGTGTTAATCCCAGACCAAAGACCAGAACCGCGATCTGAAGCATCTCAGCTATCAACAGCTCAGAAAGAAAGAAACAGACCATTCAAATAAAAACTATAAAAATAAACCAGTAAAACTTTACGCTTCTTCATTCAAACCACAGCGATCATAAAAGCAATAACTAAACCTCAGGTTTATCAGGTGGAAAATGTGTTTTCACTTTAATCCAAGTGGGAATGGATACCTGCATTACTTTAATAATAAAAATAATCAACATTTGCAAAGTGAGATTTATATCTACTAAGGTTATTCTGTCAGAATGAATTCAGCTACATTTAAAAAGAATAAATAGATAAAAGAGGACGAGGTTTCTCACAGCACTGCTGGTAGATTTAAGGACCGCCTGTTAATAGGAGCTTATATGTAGAAACATAAACTCACCTGTTGGTTGTTAACATAAGCCAGGATTCCTGCAGTGATTTCCAGCAGGAAGATAAAGAGCAGCAACACCAGATACTACAGAGGAAATACATGAGAGCAAAACAAGAGTCTTTATCCTTTTGCAAAATCAGCACATTTAAAATGATTCAAAGGAAGGTTTAGAGATAATTAAAGACTAAAGAGGATGAAAAAAGCAACAGTTCTTTTAAACCAATCAACAGGAGGAAGGAAAGGAGAGACTAAAAAAAGGCAGTGGTTTAAAAATAGACATGACGTGTTTCTGGAAGATTGCTTTTGTATGAACAGAGGCGTCATGTAACCAAACAAATACTGTGTTACTCTAAGTTAAAATGTTAGTGATCTATACTTTAATGGAGGAATTATTTCTTTCTACTCCTTACATTTTAAAAATAGACTTGTTAGTTTTATTTCATTTAAGCTCATTTTCATTATGCACTGTTGGTATTTAAAAATAAAAACCATCAAAATAATCAGTTTCATCCAGACAATTTCTTTGTAGTTGGACCCAGTGCTGCCCCAACTTGTTGCTCACCACATACCAAAATAAATAGTTTTCTTGAGATGATGCAAATTAAATTTGACAACATAAGTTCTACAACTAAGAAAATGAAGTCTAGGGAAGTTATCAACCAGAAAAGTAGAAAAATGTTCCTTTAATAGGGTCGAGCAGTAAAGCTTCTGATCTTAACAGTTTGTCCTGCGTTACTTTTACTTTCATACTTTTAGTATCTTCTAAAAAGGTGATTTTAAGCAGTAGGATTCATACTTCTACTGG